TTGAGTAATACGTGAACAGCGGACCCATACAGGGCATATCCACGTTAACTGGAAACATGTCAAATTCAGCAAACATTTCAAGGAGTAGTTTTCCTCTAGTATTTTCCCGTTGACCTGAACGTGGATCCGATACATGTACGTTAAAATCGCCTGCAATAATGATTTGCTCTTCTCTATAACCTAATTGAGTGCACACTGCATTAAGGCAAGTTAGAGTATCGATAAAATCAGCCAAGTTACTGTTCGTTGATGGAAAATAGATGCTACAGAAAACATAATTCTGATTATTCATTCGAAATTTAATTGCCACGATCCTATCATTTCCGAGTAATAATCGTTGTGCCTTGAGATGTTTTTTCCAAACAATCGCGACGCCCCCCTGACCTCGCTTCCATCTTGTTTTCATATTGTTTTGTTCGCTTGTCTTTGCATAATACAAAAAATCGTTATGTAAATTGTCTAATATAGTAAGCTCATCGGCGTATAACCAATGTTCTGAGATGGCTAAAACATCAACACTTTCAAGTAACTTTTGCATATAAAGCTGGAGTAATACGAGCAACCAAATTGCTGCAACTTGCAACAAAATCTGATTTCAACGCATGATAAGTAGAAATGTTGACACATGTTGCCTCGTGATTTGTAATTGTATGTGTAAACATTTTCAATTAACATGCGTAGAAATCAGATTTTGTTGTAAGTTGCAGCAATTTTGTTGCCCGTATTACTCTACCTTAAACGAAGTTCGATTTGATGCCTCCGCAGTTCCAACATGCAATGTTTATGAAGGCGGTTCTCTGGATGGATCTCTGTCAGATTTCACTGACCGTTTTCCCATTTATCTTTGGAGAGCCATTCCCTTGCGTATACATTTTTCGGCCAAAAATTTGCATGGTTCAAGAATCTCCTTAATATCTGAAACTCTGACATTTATACGCACAGCAACGGTGCCGCTTCGCCGACTTTTCATCATTCGTACGAAAGTCGGCTGAACGCCTTTTCCCTGCATAAATTCTTTTATAGTGCTCGCGTGAACCCCGTCTTTAACACCACCTAGATACAATCGTTTTGTGTTGCGCCGTTCCACGCCAATAAACTCCTTTGAGTCAACTAAACTCGCTTCATTTTGATTTTCACTTGTTTTTGAACTTCTAATTACTTGACTTTGTTTTGGACAATCGATATTATTCGACGGCGGTCCCGGGTCATTTGCGCTCTCGCCTTTGTTACTATCATCATCATTAACTAGAGCTGTATTAATTTGTCCCTCGCTTTGTTCACAATCAGTAACACTCACAATAGTAACTTGCTCATTGTCCTCATTACTACCACTCGCTACAGCTGCGAAGGATCGTGGCTGAGTACCATTGTTAACAGCTCCCTTGGGTCCTGGGTGTGCAAGTTCAGTATTGCCAAACTCTACGGATTTATTCAAATTTTTTTCGTTAATATTTTAATGTTTTCCTTTGACTTTCTCTGTTCTGTCATTTTAGAAATATTTTCCATCTCGACGCAGATGCTTTCGCATTTCGAATTTAGAGGTTCTTTTGAAGCACGACAATTAGCTCGTAAAGTCGACACCTCCTTTTCTAGTTTTGTTGCCCCACTTCGGGCACTACTTTAAATTTACATGAATCTATAGATTTTTATATGCTGCATGAGTACGAATTCACTTGTTGTCACTCGCACAAAGCTGCAGTTTTTTTGTATTTTACGAGAAACATCAACATTTTTTATTAAAATTTCCGCCATTTTGTTGAGGAAACTTCATGTTACATACAGTTATTGTACTAGTTCAACTCTCTTAGCACGGGGGGATGCACGCGGTATTACGCATTTTTTATCATCCTTCTGAGGAAAATATACAGAAATAAATAAAAATATAGATATTTTTCCACAATATTAAAATGCGAAAGGCACTGTTACAAGTTTGTAAATAATCAGGAACTAATCAACTATAGTATTCTTTATTGCATCAACGTTTGGGTTTTTTGCCTCTGCTTGATGTGAAATTGCAAAGACTGTCACTATATATAGAGAAAGACAGTCACTATGTCCACAACTATGTCCTTGGTAAAGTTGTTTGTGTTATTTATTTCTGAAATTGTGTATATAATTTTAGCCTTACAATGTGAATAGGCAATTTTTGTTTGAAAATTTTGTTTACACTGAATAAGGAGCACAATATATTTGTTGTTTAATAAATGTTACTTATTTGTTGTTTGGTATAAAATTATGTTAGACCTATAGTCACCTAGATAATTTATTAGCACAAATAGACCATTACCCATTAATTTTGTAGCGGTTGACCTCAATC